GGCGACTAAGTGGCTGGTTGGGTTGACTTTAGATTGATGTGGGCTGTGCCGCTTTCTGAGCAGCAAGGCTGGATCGACGTCCCGTCCGGGCCTGCGAGAGTATTTCATGGATGTGGGGGAGAACTCAGCATGGGGTCCTCTGTCTGCTTGTTATTGCGACATGCATGTGCTTTGTCCACATGTCGGATGACTGCTGGCGGTGCAGGACCTATTCTTGCATCGTGTCCGCCAAGATTCAAGCCTGTGGAGGCTCCCAGGAGGGTGGACACCACGCACTCATCCGCAAGCTACCACACAATAAACACGTAGGTCATTGTGGCTGTGGTTCTACTTGCCACTCTTCGGATAGGTCGTCTGACCCTGCCCAGTACAGTTTGATCCGTCATTGGTCAGGAAATCAAATCTTGCGGGACCAGAAGCACGGGTAATAGCCTGCAATCTCTTCGAGTACAATCCGGCTCAACCTCCAACCACGAGATCTGCAGCTACAGTATTCCTCTTCATGTCTTTGATTTACTCGTTTTCCTGTAGACAGATCGGAACATCCACTAATCCTTACCCCAAAACCCAGGCACAAAGCATCGATCATGCCAAAGAGATGGGAGCACAAGCAAAATCGGCGCTGCGTAGAGCCAGAATTCCGGAATTCGACAAGCCAAGAAGATTGTTCCCAGGATCGACAAATTGAAAGGGTGCGAAATTGCACACTGTCACCTCCGCAAACCGGGAACAATTCCGAATGACTAGGGATCCCGAGAATACCAAGCATCGATAGTCACGGATTGTGACATGGGAAGGAAAGGAAAATGATGCGGTTCATGATATACATGTATATATAACGACGTCCTATCGTCCGACAAGTGAATCATCACCACCTCATCTTCCACAATTCACATTCACTTCTCCGACTACCTACTCCATAATGTTGTTCACCAAATCATCTACCGCGATGATCTCGCTCTTCACACTGCTAGTTGCAGCTGCTCCGACACCAGAGATACTTTCAGAGAGATCATCAGAATGTGGGTTGTTTCCCTATTGCCTCCATCTCTCTGCGGAATTCTCCCACTATGAATGCTAACATGATCTAAAGTGTGCAACGGAACGATTGTCCTCAATGAGAAACCGGAGCCTTACGTTATCCAACGCGGCGACACCCTGACCAGTATCGCCGACCACTTCAAACGCGGAATCTGCGACATTGCAAAGGCAAACTCAATCAAGAACATCAATCTCATCGAAGCGGATGCAACTATCACCATTCCTGGCCAGGTTTGCATCCCCGACAATACTTCCTGCCTGCCCAAGACCGAGACGCCCACTAAAACCAACATCCTCGGTGGCCCCGCAACATACGTCGTTCAGCAAGGAGACACCCTCTCCGCCATCGCCGCAGCTTTCCAGATCACCCTGGCCGCCTTAGAGGCTGCCAATTCTCAAATCCCCAATTTCGACTTGATCTATCCCGGTCAGGTCATCAATATTCCTGTGGCTCAAGGATCTCAATGCACCATTCAGAGCCACATCATCAAGCAGGGAGACATTTACTACGATCTCGCAAACCATTATGGAGTCACTGTCGGCCAAATTCAGGCACTCAACCCCGGTGTTGACCCAACCAAGCTTCAGGTTGGACAGAAAATAACAATCGCGGCCAGCTGCAAGAGTACGTGATCCTTTTGTTCCTTGAAAGCTGTTGATGAGGTAACTAATTCTGATGTGAAGAGTAGGCGCGTCTGGAAGTTCGGGTGGAAAGGGAAGCGAGAAGTCGGGCGAGAATCCGTACTGGAAGGGCAAGTGGGAAGGTCCTGGCGCGGGGGGATACTGGAAGGGAGACAAAGGAAACAGCGGGGACAAAGGACACAGTGGAGACAAAGGACACAGCGGAGACAAAGGACACAGCGGAGAAAAGAAGAAGTCTTGCAAAGCCAAGGGATCATGAACCAGTTCCCCCGATCTGACATCGATTGACAGCTCGGAGGTACATTATTGTTCTTGTTCTTGAGCGACGTAATAATCTGGGAAGCGTTGCGTATATAGGAAATCTTTTTTGAACCACATCTTAGCTATCTTAATCAACGAAATTTGTCATGACTCTTGTCTATTCGAGGCCCTACAATACCGACGGTGATCTTGCAAGGTAGCGTGGCTCGCTTCGGACCAGCCGGGTCAGGCACGCCCGATCCGGGGATCACCCTTTGATGTATTCACCTTGGCTCTCGTATCCTGTGCCATCTAGTCAGTCAAACTCCCTTGGGATGCTCGGATCGATGGATTAAGAGTAATACTTTGAAAGCAAGATACACAACTAATATCTTACATAGTACGTTACCCGCCCAAACACATATTGATACGTGGATTCTCGGCAGTGAGACCACAGGTACGCAAGGCCATCTCCGACCGGGTACCGACCGGATTATACGGATGAGATGTGGAGCAGGTATTTTATTGCTATGGAGCAACCGCCGTACTAGCGTGTGCCGAAGCCGAAACACCGCATTAATTAGCGACATCGCGATTTTCCCGGTGGGAACCATGGGACCACAGCCATCTCAGCAAAAGAGGGTCGCCAAGGGCTTGCACCTCAACCCCCATAGCCACAATTCTGTAGACGTAGATAGCCATAAAGGATACTCCGGCGGTCCACGCGGGCTTCAGCTTGTTGCTTAGCCTTGGCGAGCCTCAATTGCTGAGATGGCTGTGGGAGTAGGAGGCAAAATGGTCCCCCAGCATTCTGAGATGTTCACGCCGCACGGACGGTATGCTGAAGTTTTCCGCACGGCAGTTTTGTTCCTACCGGCACTCTTGTTGCTGCCAAAAAAACAAAATGCTACTCGTACATTCTTTTCATCCTGGACCCTACTATGGAAGCCAGCGGAAAGAATGTTAGTACACTGATCCCTCCAGAGCAATAACATACTTATATATAGCTTACACTTAGACTCCGATTGGCTCTTATAGCCTATTCTCAATTCTCCCTAGGCTTGGCTTTATATCGACGTGCTAACATTCTTTCCGCCGGCTACCACAGTAGTCTTGAGCTCCCGAATTCCGCCAATCTATGCGGTCTTAGCCGGATACGGAGTGTACATTATTCTCTTGGATACCGCATGGGTATGAAGACTCGATGCCAACTTCCATGATATATATAGGCTACGAGCAGAGATAAGAAGAAGCGTTAAGAATCCACGCTTGCCACTTCCAATTTTCCAAGTCATCCTACCAAATCTGACTAATCCGACCGTTCTCTCTCACTATGAAGATCTCACTCCTGATACCAGTCATTGCATACCTACCTGCTTCAGCATATGCTGCCTGGCATATAGCGGAACAATGCTGCGAGAGCATCCTCCCGGGTTATCTTCTACAACTCCATGGTTGTGTCAGAGTGAATGGTTACCCCAATCCGATAGCCGTGGTTCCGACTTCAGACCCGGTGTGTGTGTTTCAGTGCAAGGTCAAGACACCTTACGCGGGTGCGCTGAGAACATATTCTTCCGTCAAGTACGTAGTAACCAAAGCTCAATCCCAAGAAATGCCATCTAATATAGTCCCTAGCAAAATCGCCAGCAAAACCGGCGGTGATTTTTCGTGCATCTGCTCATTTTTCCCTGCTAGTGTTGGGTCCAAACTTTGTTAGGAGTAAGTGGAAACCGACGTTCAATTGCGAATAATATCGACTGACACATCGAACAGCAAAACAACGATGGATGCCAGTCCACATTTCGTCGACCTCATTGTTTCTCTTCATCTTCGAATCCGCGAATGCCACGAATGGCCGTACCGAACCTGCCTTCAATTGCAGCACGATTTCGTCGGCAAACCAATTCTACCAGAGCCTTCAACAGGCACACCTTTGGCTATGGCCATAACTCTCCGAGGTCTACACCGCGGTGCTGGAATACCTTCACTCCAAAAGGTCGGGACGAAATCAATTGAGATGCTGCAAATTTTGCACACCTGCTTGCGCTTGAATTGCTTTCTCTTTCTTGGAATTCTACTAGAATAATCAGTCGGGCCTGGTGTTTTTCTTGGACTGAACGGCCCAAATAGAGCGACGAGCTTTTGCAACTCCCAGAGCCCGCGTGCTACTTCCGTGAATATAACTTACCAACCGTACTAAGTCGACTTTCAGTTTGCTGTGGCTTTGCTGTAGCTTTGAACGCTAAGATTCTTCCTCATCCAATACGTCCACTCAGAATAAACTAATCAAAGCTCTTGAATCTGCGCCTAATTTTTATTTTTGGCCTCCTCTACTACGCCCAATGACCACAAGACCACGTGAGTGACGGATCCGACATCTATTGAGCTTCGTCGCAAGGTCCCCGCTCGATAAATAGCTTAGCACGTCTTCGTGCCCTCTGAGAGAACCAGGGGCATCGGGCGCTTCGGCCACTCTTCGCGGGACGCAAAACATTAGCTAATCAAATCAAAACCGGGTGTCTAAGATGATCCTCGGTTTCGTGCACCAAACTAGGACCATCGCCGACAGATTTACGGCGATTCTTGACATCGAGTTACCCAGACAACTTTTAGTGCTCCTCGTAAGGTTAGAGACTTGTGATGTCAACAACCCTGTTATGCGTCCTTATCAGTCTCCGCATCATTTCTCGTGTTTCTCTCCCAAATCGGGACCATGATCCACAAGTAAACATCGACCCTTGAAAGGATGTTTCCCAGGAAACTGTTACTACACCATGACACCACCACGAATTCGAAGACCGCTACTAGATTGACAACCCCATTCTGCAACCTTGTCCACAGTTAGGCCAGTCTCCACCGCCAGGAACAACGACAGCAACTGTGACCCAGCTCCACTTCTATCTCGCAAGTCCCCACTAGTCAGGGCCAATCGTTCGATCTTACGAATCTCCTGGAAATGTGGCGAAGTTTCCACTCCAAAAATAGAGCGGAGGAGGGCACGCAATCACAAATCTCTCCGCACAAGACCCAGCCACTACTACTGAGCCAGGCCACCAAAAAGAAGATCACGCCATGATCTCTCCCACCGGGAATCGAACCCGGGCCATCCGCGGATCGTCATTGGTCGACTCGGTCGATTGGATCGTGCCGACACCATGACAAGCGGATATCATGACCACTAGACTATGGAAGATGGGCAAGCTGCGCTTGTCATAGTCGATTTCTTGGCGGAGGAACCACAGCCATCGGTATATATGCACGGTAGGCTGCTGTCAAGTGCGTTAGGGCGTTATCGATTGCATGGATGTTTGAAGATGGATGCTTGTTCTTAGCGGACTCGGATCTGGTCGTGGATGTCGCTGTAAGGTGATTGACCCGAATCCTATTGGACTGCGCATGATTGTGTCGATTTGCGTATTGTAGACTGGAAAGGGTGCATGTCAGAGACGAGCCTGATGTATCTTGAAGTACTTATCAATGACGTAATCAAATGGAGGATACTTTTTGAGCAGGTACTTACCTAGCTCGTAAGCTCGCAGAATCGAGCCATAGCCTGCGGTGACTCAATTGTGCTCGTTGCACTCAAATACAATATTGGTTCGAATGTCAAAAAAGACTTCGTTGTGAAGCCTTTTCAGCTCCGTGGTGGCATTTGCATCGCTAGGATCAAATTGAGCGTCTCGAGCCAATACAGATGGTTCGTCGTCTCTCTTTTGGACTCCTGCTAATCTTTTCAGTTCTCTGAAAAGCTGAAGGACTTAGCAATGCGTGAGATCTACAGGAGTTCAATGCACGTCAGCCTTGCGAAAGCCGAACCGCCGTGTAAGTTGAGACACTGATACATGTAAAGTTTGCCCAATTCATCTTTAACAAACAACCTCAAAGAGAAGCAAACGAACCTCTGCAATCACAACAGGCACAACACAAAAGGGGCAAAAGGTGAGGTGTATCAAAAAGACATGGATGTACGGCAGCAGGGATCCGTCGTCGACTACTTATCCAAATGCTGATGCGCTGGTATCAAGCTCTCAAGATCAACAATGTTCCGTCGATTTCTGCGATATACTGTTAGCGAAATGCTCGTTCAAGGAGTAGGCGGACAAACATTTTAGATCGTTCTATAAAAGTCTGTATGTGATAGGTCTTGGAGGATGGCAACAGCAAGACTGGATACTTCTTGAGTTTTGAATCGGTCTCGTAGGCTTCGAGGCTGTAGAGGCAACGACGACGAAGTGACTGTGGCCAAGCTCTCCCTCAAGCTTCCAAGTGTTGATAAAAATAGATACTTAACAAAACAGACCGTTGAGCAGAAGACGCAAGGAGCCGCAAATTTCCTCAGCTCCATCCGCAACTTTGAAATGAACCACCACCGCTGACCATGCCAGTAATAAGAGAACAACGCAAAGCTGCAGCAGCAGTCACCTCCGAAGTCCGATCAGCCTCACCAGAAGAGCTGTTGATTAGCTAGGGACATCCAGCAATTGGGTGAGGAAGAATCGTGCCGCATCGTGTCCCTCACACTTTCATGCTGATATGCCGTCCATGGAACCTTTGCTCTTTTCCTGATTGACTGTGATTCAGGTTGAACTTACAGGTCACTAGCCCGAATTTCATCACTCGATCGACATGTCCTCTCTCTCCATAAACGTGTACTCCCTGACACGGTAATAGTGCAACGCTGGATGGCGTACCTCACGGAACGTCGCTACACTGTCCTCAGCGCTAATTCCAGCTGTTGCTCTTGCCGGTACTGGTCCTTCTACGTGTTCGAAAACTGTTCCAAAAGTAGCCTTGGGCCCCTTTTGTACTGCTCTTCTCTTCATTGACGCGGAGTACGTGTTCAAGTTTTGGGCCAACCATGACATGGAGAGCAGTAGACCTGGTCCCTTACCCTAAATCTTTTTGAATATCAAGAAGTAGTTGTCCAGCAAAAGTCGTCAATTGGGCAAGCTATTGGCCATAACTCAGCAGTCTCTTTACGAAAGCTCGTGTCCGGTTGTAGCTGAGGAAATTCCCATTCTTCATTGGCCAGTAGCGGCCATGAATCTATGCATCAATCGGCGATTCACTTCGGGGTTAGACACAAACTTCTCACATCGGTGACCGAGATCGTGAGGGTTATCGAGCACGCTTCTCAGGGGTAAGGCTTCTGGTCGGTCCGCGTTGGGGCATTTAGATCTTCAGCCGCAGGAATTTCATTCATGAGCTGATATTCAGCGGCCAACCGGTTGCGTGAAGGCGCACTTGAGGCGTATCGAAGACAAAAGGGGCAAGACGTAAACATGCAGCAGAGCGGTAACAGGTGTCGAGAAGATTAGTAGAAAGGCCATACAATTGTAATATCAATTATATCCTGTTGAGCGTCGTTTTGTGGAGATATAAGCGACAATTCGACTTATCGTGGTTGTGGCAGGATGAGAACATGTCAGCGTTCGAGTTCAACTATCTAGTATTTTGTTACTGCGATACACTCGGTGGTTCGTTCTATCAATGCTGTGAGTTCCTGTGCTTATCATGCCAGTCGATGGTGCTGCCTACCGTTGAGAGATTCCAATGCTGTCGGGTTACAATTGTTGTACAATTGTATTACTTTGAAGCAAATCTATTGAGAATGATTAGTTGTCCTCCCACGTATAGCTTTCTACTATCGCTGTTTCATGGTCCATTAAACATCAATATCGGGTTTTATATTGAGCCAGGAAACAACCAGAAGCTGCCCGATATCAACATAACCCTCAAAGAGCTGTATCCGATGCCTTTCTTGGTCCATGTCATGCTTGCCACTCCGGATTCTTCCTCAAAATGACCAATCCCTCAAGGGCATGTGTTAGAGGAAGGTATTCCTCATCTTCTAATTCGGCTCGTTCCCCAACGCTCAACAGAACAGGCGTCGTCTGTGTCTGCCATCCTGTGATGGTTTTGGGTCTACCAGCTTGTCCAACAATGTCCACGGCTTGACCAACGCGGACATTGACCGTCAATGGCTTGAGATCTTCATCCAGGGTGACCAAGAACCTAGGATTCATTGACGTCGCCAGGAAGTACAACATGTAGTGGTTGTTGGCCAGAACGAAATCCTTTGCATCGATCATAGTAACGAGTGTGGTCAACAAACCTGCGCAGCCAACCTTTGACAAGACCTGGCGATCGGTGTGGAACGGGTTTAGCGTCATAGTGCCTTTGCCCATGTGCAAGAGACCTTGAGCTATCCGCACCATGAAGAGAGCGTTAGGGTCACGATGGTAATAGCTTGCAAGTTGTCTGAGCAGCTGTGCTAGACGGGCATTATTCGTTCCTGCACCGACGAGGCCCATGGCGAAGATGGCATTGATGGCGACATCGAGGTCATTGTCGTGGGAATATCTCGAGAGAGTATCATAGACCTTCATTTGCGGGTTGCTTGTGCTTGCAAGACCCATGGCAAGCGGCACGGCGCGTCGGATGTTGCTCTCCCCATAATGCATAAGATGGCCGAATTGTCGCAATATCATTTCTTGTCCGACCTCCTCACCCATGCCGACGAGCGAAAGACCGAGAACGGCATAGGCTTGAAGAAGTTCATCGCCCTTTTTCTCACCTTCATCGTCCTCCTCGATGTGCTCGTTGCAGATGTGCAAGAAGTTTTGGATGTTGAGAACGGCACCAGTTCCAGCCCAGGCACAGGCTTCGGCAAGCACTTGAGTTGTCTTTGAAATTGGGTGTTCAATAGCCTTCAGTGTCTCGATGATGACGTCGACTTCCTCTTGCTGTCCAAAATATAGGAGAGCAAGACCGAGACTCATGAATCTCGTCCATTTGTCCTTGAGCTGCGATTCTCGATCTGGGTCCATCAACGTTGAAATGATCGCTTCTATGACATCGGGTTGAGCTGTACCGACGAAGACGAGTCCCAAGGATAGTGCGGCGATTGCAGATAGCTGCATGTCAAGAGAAGCGTCGGTGACGATTGGAACGAGAATCTCAAGGAGAGCCTCCTTACTGGAGCCGGCGTATGCTACACCAAGGCCCATGATGGAGGCCATCCGCGTAGGTATGTGTTTGCCATGAAGCTTGTCCGAATCGCCTAACAACGCAAGAGCTGGATCGGCGTCATTTCGCACACCAGTACTGATGAGACCCGATGCCAACATGGCACCAGCTTTGACGGGCTCCTCCTCAACATAAGAAAAGGCATCGACCTTGTCCAGACCCATCTCAACGTCCCAGAGCATCAGCAACCCGACCGAAGCGGTTGTTGACAGCATACCTTCATCCTTGGTCTTCCAAACCCAGCTGGATTTGTTCTCATCTACCATCATTAGCTTGTCTTGGCCGAAACCTGCGTTGACAAAGCCATTGACAAACGCGCTCGACAGATTGTGGCGCGCTGAATCGGTATTTGTGAGTCCTGCTGTCCGTGTGCTTTCCAGATGCGTCTTATAGATGTCTTCAGGTATTTTTGGGTCCAGAATGTTTAGTTCCTTACCCATGTACTTGAAGTAATCTGGGAGCTTCGTGTTGTTGATACAGTCCGCCAATTCCGGATCCTCCTCAGCATCCTCTTCTGATAGCTCAATACATATTCTCTGCCGTCCAAGCAAAATGGCCATTTGTCTCCTCGTCGATTTGTCCTTGGTGGAGTTAAAGACCTCTTCAATCACGCCCTTGTCATTGAGCCGGATAGCTAGTAGCAGAGCCTGAGTATATTGTTTGTACTGTTTGTAGATGTTGTATGCGGTCTTGATAAATTCCGAGTTGTCTGGGTATGGAAGGAGAGGCACCATACTGTACGCTGTCAGTAATCACAGCAAGGAATATGGATAGCAGATGCAACTGACCTGACCATATAGAGACAGACTCGCGAATAGGTGTCTGCATCCAGGTACTTCGGTAAGTCCTCAATCATCTCCAGCTCGCTCAGGAGATCCACAGCATCTGCTTCAGCATTATGCTTGAGAAAGTATGGGACAAGCGCAAGGGCGAGTTCCTTGATGTCGTCCAATTTCGGCTCAGGACCGCTAGATTCATCATTCAACCTGAAGTCCTGTTCCTCTCCGATCTCGAGAGCAAGATGGCGCATGTATTCGTGGCCCCATTGGCCGAGGTCTGTGGATGGGGCTAGGAGGCGGTATTTGAGGGTGTCTCGTCGCTCTTCATCAGAGAATGTCATGCCAACGACGGAGAGCATATCAGCGAGGGAGGTCTGCAGAGTGG